TCTACCTATATTTATATCTAACTATCTACCTATCTATATATCTAACTATCTACCTATCTATATATCCAACTATCTACCTATCTATATATCTAACTATCTACCTATATATCTGAATGTTTGTCACTAAGAATGTTGTTTTCCCTTACAGTTACTAACAGTTACAACTAATTATGGAAAATGGACCGGGGCGGCTAAAAGCCATATTCATTAATCTATCCATTCATCCATACCAATATACATATTCATCAATTCATTCATTCATACCAACGTATATATATTCTTCTATTCATTCAGCCACAGCAGTGTATACATATTTATCTATTCATTCATTTATAGCAATGTATACATATGTATCTATATTCAACCATACCAATATGTACATATTCATCTATTCATTCATCCATACACCTATATACATATTCATCTATTCATTCATCCATACCAATATATACATATTTATCTATTCATTCATCCATACCAATGTATACATATTCATCTATTCATTCATTCATAGTACTGTTATATATTCATCTATTCATCCATATTCCTTTATATATCCATATTAGGATATACATATCCATCTATTCATCAATTCATTCCTAAAATTATAAATAAAGTAATGCCTACAAAAAGCTAAATAAAATGATAGCGTTAAGAGAAAAAGAACTATTATTTTATTTTTTTGTTTACCAGGGATGAAATTATCAACAATCTAGACTTTAAAACGACATAAAAGACGACATTTGAAGAATTTGTATAAATCTGCGAACAAATTCATAGAACATAAGAAATTCAATACAATGATAAAAAGGAAATAATTAATTCTAAATTCGATTTATTGACAAATTGTTTTTGAGAAATATGTCCCTAAACATCTATTTAGTTTTTTCGTCGTCGTTATTTATTAATTTAAAAAAAAACGGATTCTGAAAACGTGCCCACCCAAATTCATGATTTTGAACGTCGACATTTTGAACGTTTATATGTCTCAAATGAATCCCAAATAATTTGTCCACAACACTGCATACTCAGTTTAACTACCTTACATAGCCGGTCTGTCCCTTTAAAGCCCAATACATTACAATAGTGTAGATATTGATTAAAGTGGGGACAACTGAAGGAATTTCCTAATATTAATTATATCTACGCATACATTTACAAAATATAACATGACGTAAATACTGACATTCATGATTCAAGGCAATTTCAGATTAAAAAATAGAAATAGATTTTTAAATATTCATAATCATCATCCTAATCGCATAAAAATGTCTCTTAATTTTGAAATGAAATGAGATGCATTCCCGATCAAGAAACGGATTTTCTTTGAAAAACATTTTGATTATTTTGATACATTTTGAGATTATTCACCCTTAGAAACATCTTTTAGCTGTACAATTGATTTTGAAGTATTTATAATTCTAACAAATTGGAACGCACAACCCTTATATCATGTTTATTTTAATTTGTGTTAATTAAAGAATAAATATTTTTATCTAGTTATTTGCGGTTGGTGTAAGGTTAGTTCCGGCGAAATTTGTCCTAAAACTATTTCCCGAAATTCCTGGTTCTCGGACAAGGGAAGAATGTTTTACTCTCACATTCCAGAATATAAAAGAATAATTCCACACACTAAAATAAAATGGCGGATTTAATATAAAATGGCGGATTTCGTATAAAATAAATTTTAAAGATGGCGAATAAAAAAAATAGACAGATTGAATATAAATGGCGAATTTTATAAAAGGACAAATTAAAAGAATTTTTTTTTTAAATCGCGGATTTAAACGAAATGATTGAATAAATATTTAATCTTTATATCATATAATGATTGATATATTACTTTATACTTTGTAGGATGCATTTTTTATTATAAACTCTTTTGAAACTGCAGCAATACGAATATCGAGAGATAAATCCTTTTAACTTAAAAAATAAGATTTCACGTTTATCTTCAAAAGAAAGATTAAAATTAACAAATGATAAATTAAGGGAATTGTTCCATAATCATAAACCAAATTCGCAAATTTAGAATTTTAAAGTTATTAAAATTGTTTCTTGCTAAATGCAGTTGAAAAAAGCGTAATTACCGTAAACAGGAACTAATTTTAAATCATTTCAAAATTTGTTTAATTTTCTACATTTTTCTGATATGAACAATAAGCAGAGTTGGGAACTTTAGAATGGTGGATATCGAGATCAATGCTTGATTCTTTAATCGATTACTTGTATCCTGAAAAGTGTATAATATTCAACCAATCAGAGTCGCCTATCAGAAGCCGGGAAATTTGAAATTTTGCGCGCCATTTAGGATTAATATATTTATATATTATGTATAAAATTTTGAAGAAAAAAACTGTTTTTCTGTACTATATCCAAAAAGGAGTGGATTAAGCAAGAAATTAAAAGTGTCCACATTGGATATTCGGATTAAGCAGTTGGGATTAAAGGTATCCCATTCTAAAGTTTTCAGCTCTGGGTCTATAACATTTGCGTTTTGCATGAACAATGAACATTGAACAAAATTGATTCTAAAGTACTAGGTCTAGATTATCTATTAATCCCAACCAGGATTTAAATACAAGAGGACTGCAGCCCCCCCATCCCCCTCTCCCCCCCCCAACCATCACCTTTGCGACTATGAACCAAGTCAACGGAGTTCAGTTTTCCAAACCCGTCAATTGAAAACATTTCGCGGATTTCTGCAATTCTCAAGGATTTCTACTTTATCCATAGTTTGGAATCTTTATAAAGAATAAATGTTCTATCTAAAGGTCTACCCACACAAGATAAGGTGAGGCTGTAAAGACGACCTATAACTCTTGAAATAGGACGATTTCAAGGTCAAATCAAGTTTTCTTTAAATATGTCCTTTTTCTGACCTATTTAAGGGTTTGACACATAATGAAACAAGAAACAGACATCATAAGTTCTGTAAAGTCGTCTTCCAAGTTTCATCTTTTGTGGGTAACCCTTTATAAAACAACAATGTTGTTCATGGTTTCTGAAATTTTCAAAAAAAAGATATTTTAACTTTCTTGAAAGAGATGGATCCTCTCTGCACATTATTAATTTATAAATTAAGTCTTGCACAGGAATTGTATTTTTAGAAACTAAAAGGAGTAACTTATCGATTTCTTTAACAGAATCTTGTTAAAGGAACTGCAGACGTAATTCAATGCAACCCTCCTAATATGTACTTGAGAGTCAGGGTTGGCTTTAAAGAAAAGCTGACGGATCTATGCAGAAGGAGTCCTGTCAAAGAAGTACAATTTTAGAATTCTTCATTTTGTGTGATTGAAAAACGAGATATCTTCTTCAATTTTGTTAAAATAAAGGTTTAAAGGCCGGGTACCCGGCGGGAATCGGATTCAAAATGAGTTCCACTTAAAATTACGTCATCAGTCTCCTTGAGGCATAATGTTTTATCTTGTTCATGACATACTTTATCTTGTTCATGACATACTTTATCTTGTTCACTTTATCTTGTTCATGACATACTTTATCTTGTTCCTGACATACTTTATCTTGTTCATGACATACTTCATCTTGTTCATGACATACTTCATCTTGTTCATGACATACTTTATCTTGTTCATGACATACTTTATCTAGTTTATGACATACTTTATCTAGTTCATGACATACTTTAATTTTTGATGACATACTTTATCTTGTTCATGACATACTTTATCTTGTTCATGACATACTTCATCTTTTTCATGACATACTTTATCTTGTTCATGATATACTTTATCTATTTGATGACATACTTTATTTTTTGATGACATACTTTATTTTTTTGATGACATACTTTATCTTGTTCATGGCATACTTTACCTATTTCATGACATACTTTGTTTTTTTGATGACATACTTCATCTTGTTCATGACATACTTTATCTGGTTCATGATATACTTCATCTTGTTCATGACATACTTTATCTATTTCATGACATACTTTAATTTTTGATGACATACTTTATCTTGTTCATGACATGATTCATCTTATTTTTGATAATTTACCAACATTTGAATTTTAATTGAAATCTAGGTTTTTTAAACCGCCTAGATTATATTTTTTTTCTTGAACACCTTAGATCTCAGTCTGTTCTAAAATACTTGATAAAGATACGGGGGGGGGAGACTGACACTTGTAATAATAGGGCAGATCAATATAGAGATAGATAGATACTTAAACACTGGATACAAGATAGATAGATAGATAGTAAGGAAGAAGGCCGCATTGCAGTCTTATTTCCTCAACAGCAAATATTAAATGTATTAATTAGAAGGAGTAGACCTCTTTTAGAGGAGCAGAGGAGTAGTAGAACCTTTTTAGAGTAGTAAAGGAGTAGTAGAACCATTTTAAAGGAGTAGTAGAACCCTTTCAAAGTAGTAGAGGAGTGGTATAATTCTTTTAATCCTTTTAGAGGAGTAGTAGACATTTTTATAGGAGCAGAAGAGTAGTAGAACCCTTTAAGAGGAGTAGAGAAGTAGTTGAATCCATTTAGAGGAGAAGAGGAGTGGTAGAATCCTCTTAGAGGAGTACAGGAGTAGTAGAACCCTTTACTAGGGATTGGCTAGGGCTGCTAGGGATTACTATGGATTGGATAGGGCTGCTAGGGATTACTAGGGATTTGCTAGGGCTGCTAGGGATTACTATGGATTGGATAGGGCTGCTAGGGATTACTAGGGATTTGCTAGGGCTGCTAGGGATTACTAGGAATTGGCTAGGGCTGATAGGGATTACTAGGGATTGGATAGGGCTGCTAGGGATTACTAGGGATTGGATAGGGCTGCTAGGGATTACTAGGGATTGGATAGGGCTGCTAGGGATTACTAGGGATTGGCTAGGGCTGATAGGGATTACTAGGGATGGGATTGGATAGGGCTGCTAGGGATTACTAGGGATTGGATAGGGCTGCAAGGGATTACTAGGGATGGTGTGGAGTTTGAAATAGGATTAAAATCCTAGTCTACGAAGATAATGCAGTAAGTTATTTAACAAACATGTTTCTTCATGTTCATGCAAAAATATTGCAGTAAGTTATTTAACAAACATGTTTCTTCATGTTCATGCAAAATACACAGGGCCGTAAACAGGGGGAAGGAGGCTTTGGGTTCAAAAAAACTTATTTTCTTCTCTACTTGGAAAAATGCCCCTACCCTTTCGATTTTACATTTTTTAATATTTTTTTTTTAAACTATCTATTTGGATAATTTTTGAATTTGAAAAAAATTGTTAATTGGCACTTTAATTTGACCTGACTTTAGGGTTCAATCAGTTTCTTTGTTTTAGCTTTCAAAAATCAATACTATACATAGTTTAGTTATTAAAGAAAGCCGACACGTTTAAATTATTTACTATTTCAACCCTGCTGGGAGGTGGGGGGGG